ATTAGTAGTAAATCTCCAGCACGTGCGTTCAGATGGAGCGGCATTTACTGACGAGATGCGCATGAAAATCGCATTCGATTATTTGCACAGCACTATAACTTAACATAAAAATGACTATGAAAGGGTGTGTTATATTAGACTAAGTTTTTATATTCATAACAAAAGCATAACTTGGCTCTTTAGATACATTTTCTAGATTTTTTTTTGTTTTTTGTAAGAGGATTCGTGTTATTTTTGCTATGTCCCATGCACTGCTCATTAAATTTGAATAATAGTAGAATATTGTCAATTCATAAAAATAAAAAATTCTCCTATTGATATTTTGGTAAATAAGAGATTGTGAGTGTATTGATCAATTGGTAAAAAAAAAAAAATGTTTTTTATTAAAATAAAAGAGCTTGTCCATGTCCCTTGAATAGTTGTCCACCCTGTCATATTGGGGAATCCGCCCCTTTAAAGGGTTAGTTCACCCAAAAATGAAAATTCTGTCATTAATTACTCACCTGTTGTTTAAAAAAAAAAAAAGTGAAGTGACGTGTGGCCAAGTATGGTGACCCATACTCGGAATTAGTGCTCTGCATTTACCCATCCAAAGTGCACACACACAGCAGTGAACACACACAAACCGTGAACACACACCCGGAGCAGTGGGCAGCCATTTATGCTGCAGCGCCCGGGGAGCAGTTGGGGTTCGGTGCCTTGCTCAAGGGCACCTCAGTCGTGGTATTGCAGGTGGGAGAGAGTGCTGTACATTCACTCCCCCCACCTACAATCCCTGCCGGTACGAGACTCGAACCCACAACCTTTGGGTTATGAGTCCGACTCTCCCGTAAGACCTTAAGACCTTTGAAACCCGTAAGACCTTTGTTCATCTTTGGAACACAAATTAAGATATTTTTGATGAAATCTAAGGGCTCTCTGACCCTCCCATAGACAGCAAGGTAACTACAACGTTCAAGGTCCAGAAAAGTACCAAGATGATCGACAAAGTTCACGACAGTATCATGCCGCGAGCGTGTGGCGGCGCCGGCGCTGACCCAGATCCGGCGTGATGGATCTGGGTCAGCGCCGCCACACACTCGTGTCATGATACTGTCGTGAACGCGCATCCAAAGTGATGCAGTAGAGACAAAAATGTGGAATAAAGTCGTTATTTTTGTTTTCTTTGCGCAAAAAAGTATTCTCGTAGCTTCGTAACTTTACAGTTGAACCACTGATGTCACATGGACTACTTTGTCGATCATCTTGGTACTTTTCTGGATCTTGAATGTGGTAGTTAACTTGCTGTCTATGGGAGGGTCAGAGAGCCCTCAGATTTCATCAAAAATATCTTAAATTATGTTCCGAAGATGAACAAAGGTCTTACGGGTTTGGAACAACACGAGGGTGAGTAATTAATGACAGAATTTTCATTTTTGGGTGAACTAACCCTTTAAGAAAAGGCCTGACCCTTTAGTGACATCAGGACAACAGATTTTTTTGTCTCTTCAGTGGTGGGAATTTCAACGGCTGAGGTGAACAAGTTGATGACTTTTTAATTGACACATTTTCTTCATATGAGTTTGCTTACTTGCTTTGCCATGTCCACCCTGTCAGCATAAAATATGCCAGAAGTGATTAGAATGCAGTATTTTAAAAATATGTTTAAGTTTAAATATACCAAATTTTCTTCAACAACCAGACTAAATATTTAGCTAGTCACAGTTTGTTGTAAGCTAATATGCTAATTGAAGCTCAAAATGTCCACCCTGTCGTTGTTCCGAAATGTCCACCCTGTCGGCCACTTAGACTTGATAGAGTGGCCATAAACATAACAGGGTGGACATAGCATTCATTTGTAGTTAATATTGCTAAAAACTAAAATGGGGGTTGGTGAAGTGACGTGTGGCCAAGTATGGTGACCCATACTCGGAATTAGTGCTCTGCATTTACCCATCCAAAGTGCACACACACAGCAGTGAACACACACAAACCGTGAACACACACCCGGAGCAGTGGGCAGCCATTTATGCTGCAGCGCCCGGGGAGCAGTTGGGGTTCGGTGCCTTGCTCAAGGGCACCTCAGTCGTGGTATTGCAGGTGGGAGAGAGTGCTGTACATTCACTCCCCCCACCTACAATCCCTGCCGGTACGAGACTCGAACCCACAACCTTTGGGTTATGAGTCCGACTCTCCCGTAAGACCTTAAGACCTTTGAAACCCGTAAGACCTTTGTTCATCTTTGGAACACAAATTAAGATATTTTTGATGAAATCTAAGGGCTCTCTGACCCTCCCATAGACAGCAAGGTAACTACAACGTTCAAGGTCCAGAAAAGTACCAAGATGATCGACAAAGTTCACGACAGTATCATGCCGCGAGCGTGTGGCGGCGCCGGCGCTGACCCAGATCCGGCGTGATGGATCTGGGTCAGCGCCGCCACACACTCGTGTCATGATACTGTCGTGAACGCGCATCCAAAGTGATGCAGTAGAGACAAAAATGTGGAATAAAGTCGTTATTTTTGTTTTCTTTGCGCAAAAAAGTATTCTCGTAGCTTCGTAACTTTACAGTTGAACCACTGATGTCACATGGACTACTTTGTCGATCATCTTGGTACTTTTCTGGATCTTGAATGTGGTAGTTAACTTGCTGTCTATGGGAGGGTCAGAGAGCCCTCAGATTTCATCAAAAATATCTTAAATTATGTTCCGAAGATGAACAAAGGTCTTACGGGTTTGGAACAACACGAGGGTGAGTAATTAATGACAGAATTTTCATTTTTGGGTGAACTAACCCTTTAAGAAAAGGCCTGACCCTTTAGTGACATCAGGACAACAGATTTTTTTGTCTCTTCAGTGGTGGGAATTTCAACGGCTGAGGTGAACAAGTTGATGACTTTTTAATTGACACATTTTCTTCATATGAGTTTGCTTACTTGCTTTGCCATGTCCACCCTGTCAGCATAAAATATGCCAGAAGTGATTAGAATGCAGTATTTTAAAAATATGTTTAAGTTTAAATATACCAAATTTTCTTCAACAACCAGACTAAATATTTAGCTAGTCACAGTTTGTTGTAAGCTAATATGCTAATTGAAGCTCAAAATGTCCACCCTGTCGTTGTTCCGAAATGTCCACCCTGTCGGCCACTTAGACTTGATAGAGTGGCCATAAACATAACAGGGTGGACATAGCATTCATTTGTAGTTAATATTGCTAAAAACTAAAATGGGGGTTGTATTATTTTTTAACAACCCTGTTTAGGAAAGGGACATCATGCCTTTCAGAAAATATAATTTCATCTTAATTTTACAATGAAAACGTATTTAACAGTAATATATGTGTCCATGACAGGGTGGACATATCTTATGGTTTATGCTTTGAATAATGACCCATAATTATCTCAAATAAAATGTGGGGGAGCTCAGCTAATATTTTTCTATAGTACTTGAGTGTCTACTATTTATGATATGACATAAAGGGAATGGGAAATTAAAACCAAAATGTTTGAGTATTGTGAGGGTTGAAAGGCAATGCTTAGTCCCATTTGAAGTTATCCTAACTGGAGTAGAAGGGCAGTTTTTAAGCATATTTTATAAATTAATTGTATTCTGAAGCACAGTATCAAAAACTTCAGTGAGATGTTGGAAAAAGAACTCTGATCAAAATTAGAGAACATACAAGTTATTTGTGTTAATTTGGCACATGTTGCTAATTTCCTTAATTGTATGACAACCCCTATTTAACTGGCAGCATTCCTCCAATTTTCCCTGAGATTGTATGGCGGGCTGCTCTGAGGTGACTGAAACCCTGCGACAGGAGGTTGTCCAGATGAAGGCCAAAACGATGACCCTTTTAGCCACTGCAAGAGAAGCTGGTTGTTCCAAATCTATGATTTCTATAATATTGCAGCTTTACAGTGACATTAATTCATTCAAGTCCCCAAAAAAGGCTGGTCGTCCACGTAAGACAAATGCACGAGAAGACAGGGTAATGCAGAGACTCTCAATAGGGAATCGGTTCAACACTGCAGCTGGAATTGCTTGCCAGTGCTGAACAGGGTCTGGATCTGTCTCGGAACGTTTAAGAGAAGTCGGACTGAAAGTACACATTGCAGCATATAAAGGCTAGGCTCACCTTTGCTGAGGAGCATGTTGTGTGGAGAGAGGAGAACTGGTCCAAAGTTCACTTTAGTGATGAGAGCAAGTTTAATTTATTTGGGTCTGATGGGAAATTTTATGTTCGGCAACAGACTGAGGAAAGGCTGAACCCAGAGTGCGTAAAGAAGGAAAGGTGGAGGAGAAAGTGTCATGGTTTAGGGGATGTTTTCTGCAGCAGAAGTTGAGCCTCTTATACAAATACATGGCAGAGTGAATTAAAATGTTTATCAGAACCTCCTTCAGCAACATGCGGTTCCTTCCCTGCAAGCATCTCCCAAACAGCCTGCAATTTTCATGCAAGACAATGCCCCCATCACACAGCAAAACAAAAGTAGGTTCAAGCAGTTCCTTGTAGCTAAGAACATTGAAATGATTAAATGGCCAGGCCAGAGTCCTGATCTAAACCCGATTCAAAATAATGGATGAAAAAGTTATGGCAAAGAAACCCACTACAGTCACCAAACTGAAGAGACTGGAAGAAGAGTGGTCCACGATCACACCAGCGCTGCGTGAGAAACTAGAAATGTCCAGCGGCCGCAGATGCACTGAAGTTATTCAAAGCAAGGGCCTCTACACTTCCTACTAATTTCTGACAGCTGTAACCTTCCAAACTTTTAGTTGTAATCTTCTTTCGTGCTGCAGTGGTTATCTAATTTTGATCACACATATATTTCAGATAATGTTTAATTGTTTTCAATTAACAAAATTGTTTTTTAGTTTTCCTTAACTGTAATAACCCTGGTATTGTGTTTCCTTCCATTTATTATTGAAATTTCCTTTACTTGGTTTTAAAAGGTGTTACGTTTACCTTTATAAAACCTGCAGAAGCCCTGTTAAAAGTACAAAAGCGTACAGCCCCAAGCTTTAATATTGCGTGTTGGTTGTTTGTGCACAACTTGCTGTACAAAGTTCCTTTATGTGTTGTGTTGTCGTATCTTTTCCAGGCATGATTGTAATTGGTGTAGATGAGGAGCTCGGGCCACAGGTGTATAAGTGTGACCCAGCAGGTTATTACTGTGGCTTCAAGGCCACGGCTGCAGGTGTCAAGCAGACAGAGGCTACAAGCTTCCTGGAGAAAAAAATGAAGAAGAAACTTGACTGGACCTTTGAGCAGACAGTTGAGGTACAATCAGAATTCAAGAAAACATTTGATACAGCTTCATCAAAATGAATTCCAGCTGCTAACATCAGCACCCTAGGGTGTTTAGTAGATCTTTATCTAGTCAACATAGCACCGGTTCTTTGGAATGGAAATATCAACTTCCTCTAAACTTACTTTGCTCAATAATGTAGTTAAAGATATTACAGAAAGGATTGGTTATATATCCTTGCTGCCTGATTTATTACACAATTTCTTTGTAAACAGTATTGCTAATCTGTTTATTTTGAAATCTGTGAAACAAGGGTAGGTTAAATCAATAAACTACTAGCTACTTAAAGGGATAGTTCACCCAAAAATTCTGTCACTAATTACTCACCCTCATGTCGTTCCAAACCCGTAAGACCTTCGTTCATCTTCTAAACAAAAACAGAAGTAGCGAATTTATTCAAGAATTTGTCTCCTCCGTGTCACCCTATAGCGCCATTTTGGAGAGTATCACATACGTAAACAACATATGTACGCTGTTTACGTTCAGATAAAAGCGTAAACAACGTATCCGCATACGGTGCTGTGGATACGTTATTTACATGCGTGGTACTCTCCAAAATGGCACTATAGGGTAAGGAGACGAATTGTTGAATAAAGTCGTTATTTTTGTTTTCTTTGCACACAAAAAGTATTCTCGTAGCTTTGTAAAATTACGGTTGAACCACTGATGTCACATGGATTGTTTTAACGATGTCCTTCCTACGTTTCTGAGCCTTGATCGTGTTAGGATCCTTGCTGTCTATGGAGGGTCAGAGAGCTCTCGGAATTCATCAAAAAATATCTTAATTTGTGTTCCGAAGATGAACGAAGATCTTACAGGTTTGGAACGACATGAGGGTGAGTAATTAATGACAGAACTTTCAGTTTTGGGTGAACTATCCCTTTAAAAATGAAATAATAATTCATTTAAAATAAAAATTTATTTTTGATTTTAGGATGTGTGCTACTTTTAACAATTTTATATACATCCTAAAGCCAAAAATCTATTTTTACTGGATTAACTGTGTGTTTCACGGAATGTTAATTTAAGTAGATTTGCACTAATAAACCATTTCCATCCACAGACGGCGATCACTTGTTTAACAACTGTTCTGTCGATCGATTTCAAGCCATCTGAGTTGGAGGTAGGCGTCATCACAGCAGAGGATCCGAAATTCAGGTGGGTGGAAGAACCATGTTCACCATCTACACGGAGAGATCTGCACTCTGTTCTACAGAAAATCCCTTCTAGAAAGGCAGTCGATGCCTTCAGTATTGATATTCGTCAAATGATGCAACATGGCTCATTTATGTCACATTTGACGTGTCCGAATGCCAGATGCGTATTATAATTAGAGCGCACGGATTATATTTTACACGGTTGTGACACCTAAAATGACTTGCTCCTTTGCTCTGTTCCAGGATTCTGTCAGAGTCAGAGGTGGACACTCATTTGGTGTCTCTGACTGAGAGGGACTGAGATCTCCAGGGTGCTGCTCACAGTATTAAGATACGTAGGATCCCGTTCTGAGCTTTTGTTCTTATGTAAATTCCCCGTTCCATTAAATACATTTTGAGAAAAATATTGTTAAGATTCCTGCTCTCTTCCTTTCTCTTTTTCTTCTCGTATAGCAGAATGTCTCCGGAGTGAATGATTTACTGGGGGAGTCCCCATCATGCACATCTTTCATTTTCACTGCATCCTGTGTTTTCCCTAGCTGATTTGACACCAGGGAAATCTTTTACAAACCTGTTTTTCATTTCGTGGAATTCTTTGTGGACTTTGAGCATGTTAAGTGTAGCAAGAGTCAATTAGGGCAGACTAGAGATCACGCAAGGAATGTCAAACACGTGCTTTAATCACACTGATTTAGTGATACTAGTTTAAAGTGTTTTTCCCTAACCAGATACTACTCCACTTTGTGGTTTAACAGAAAATAGTAAATCTGATCCGCAAATACAATTTTGATAAAAAATAAACAATAAGAAGATCAGAAATGAATTAGATTAAGTAATTAATACTTTAAGCAAGGATGCATTAAATTGATCAAAAGTGACTGTAAAGACATTTATAATGTTACAAAATATTTATATTTTAAATAAATGTTCTTTTCAGAATTTAGAATCCTGAAGAAAAAAATTCACGGTTTCCATAAAAATATTTTCAACATGGATGATAAAATGTTTCTTGAGCAGCAAATCAGCATATTAGACTGATATCTGAAGGATCATGTGACACTGAAGACTGGAGTAATGATGCTGAAAATTCAGCTTTGCCATCACAGGACTAAATTACATTTTAAAGTACATTCAATTAGAAAACAGTGAATTTAAATTGTAATAATATTTCACTATATTACTACTTTTATTGTATTTTTGATACATATTATTTTTATCAAATAAATGCAGCCTTGTTGAGCAAAAGAGACTTCTTTCACAAACATTTAAAAAATATAGATTTATAAACATATATACATAACACACACACAACCCTGGACCACAAAACCAGTCATAAGTCGCTGGGGTATATTTGTAGCAATAGCCAACAATACATTGTATGGGTCAAAATTATCGATTTTTCTTTGATGCTAAAAATCATTAGGATATTAAGTAAAGAAGATCATGTTCCATGAAGATCTTTTATAAATGTCCTACTGTAAATATATCACAATTTAAATTTTCATTAGTAATATACATTGCTAAGAACTTAATTTGGACAACTTTAAAGACAATTTTTTTTGCACCCTCGGATTCCAGATTTTCAAATAGTTGTATCTCAGCCAAATATTGTCCTATCCTAACAAACCATACATCTCAATTTCAAAAAATTGACCCTTATGAATGGATTTGTGGTCCATGGTCACACACGCACATATATATATACAGTATCTCACAGAAGTGAGTACACCCCTCACATTTTTGTAAATATTTTTATTATATCTTTTCATGTGACAAGACTGAAGAAATGACACTTTGCTACAATGTAAAGTAGTGAGTGTACAGCTTGTCAGTGCTGTGAGATACTGTATATATATATATATATATATATATATATATATATATATATAGAATGGAGTTGGAATTCACCTCTCACCATGTGACAGTGATGAAGATGATTATGATGTGTCACATTGAAATCTTTCCAATGGTTTTAATAGTATGCTACTCATTGTCAGGAGAACAAAGCTATGGAATTTCCCTAAAATTTATGATCATCCGTCTCCAGAAACATGATTAATGCCTTTTTTTTTTTAAAGTGCTATGACTTCGAATTAGGTGGCGATCTTAATAATCCGTAAAAATTTCACTGATCTATCATGTTTATGTATGATCTGTTCATACAGACACACACGTAATGTAATCATAGCAATGAATACATAATGCTTATGAACCTCGCACCTCTAGTGGTCGGGTGTTCATTTCTCTTTCTTGTGGGGAACTTCTTACTGAGCGTGAGTCAGATATTCATGACTCCACTTCAGAAGACCCAAGGAATTTTATTCGAACTATAGTGACGCATCTAAGTGACTCATGCGTTCCAGAAAGTAAATGATAGTTACTGTACAGACCAAGGGCTTTTTTTCTGAACCGACACTATGGGCTGGTATTCCACCACTACAGGGGTTTACATGTTCTTTCACAAGTTTCACAACTCAGAAATTCCCAGGCCTTCTGAAATCACTCCAGCACATTCAATACAAGAAACACCCCGACTCAGAATTCATGTCATTTCTTTTGTTTTTAATGTAAAAATATTTTCACAGTGTCATATATATAGACTATAAACATTATCGACAAGTGTTTCGTTTCACTTATTTACAAATATAAAAATATATCTCTCTATATATTCACAAAATATACATTTTCCCAACTCTTTGGCTTCAAAAATATTGGTAAAGGTTTTGGTCCAGCTAACTTTAGGGTTCTTTCCATGTTGAACAGCACCACCGCTATCATGCCCCCGGGAGGGGCTCAGCTCTTCTTTTCCACTTTAGCAGAGTCCCATCGAGGGATTGGCGTCCTAGGATATGGCGCACCCCGTCCCAGACCTTGAGACAGCACCTACAGCCTTCGCTGCTTTGCATTATGGGAAATGTTGTCCTGAGGGCCAGACTATCTCCCACAGAACTGGATGTCATCATATATCTGTTAAAAAAAAATTTGAAAGATACATAAATATAAATGATATAGTTATATAAAATGAATTTCACAACATCAAGATGGAATGTAAAATCTAGGAGAGGTTTCTCAAAGAAACTTACACAATCTTCATCAGACAAACACTCCTCATCGCTCTCCTCTGACTCGCTCTCTGGCATCGCTCTGAGCTCCTGGGCCGTCCGGTTGTAAAGCTGCCTCTGGATTTCGCTGTTCTGTCGGCCGAAGGTCAGGTGGTACGGCGTGTATCCGCCATAGGTCAGACAGTTAACATCTGCTCCCAAAGCGATGAGTGTGTGCACCAGATCCAGGTTCTGCAGGTCCACGGCCAAATGGAGCGACGTGCGGCCGCTACACTGCTCCTAAACGCAATAAATCATACATTAGTTCTCTTTTCAAACATCTATAAGAGTCATTTGTGAAGCTGGAGAGTGTTTTAAACTTATACCGTACCTTTGCGTTTACATCCGCCCCAAGCTGGACCAGACTCTCCACCATTGAGAGGTAGTTGTTAACGGCTGCTATATGAAGACACGTGTGTCCTGTAATTAAAAAAGAAGGATTGTATTTTAAAAACTGCTTTTTTTTAACTCAAAATGATAAGAGACTTGTTTTCGTGATAAAAAGAATGACAGTGCTGCGATTTTACTCAAAACTATGACTTACCGCTATAGTTTGGGAAGCTGAGAATGGAGTGCAGATGCTGGGTCTGAATCTGAGTCAGTACTGAGAAGCAAGCTAGTAAGCCTCTTTTGCAGGCGATGTGGAGGGCCGTGTTTCCACTCTGATCGACCAGCTGTGGATCACAGCCGGCCTTTAGCAGTCTGTCCACCATGTGCGGCTGTTCTGTGATGACGGCGAGATGCAGCGCAGTCTGCAGATGGAGGTTGGATGTTAGACAGGTTTGGAAAACCAGCTCTTGTTTTGAGGTGAATTGTGTGTAGTAGTAGTAGTGAGTAGTTGTGCGTGGGAGCTCAATTACCTGTCTTTGGTTGTTCTGTCTGTTCAGGAACGGGTCGTTCTGACACTGTTTGATAATCTGGATGGCATAATCTTCCGCCTCGTGAATGATGGCAAGGTGAAGATACCTGGAAAATAATGTGGGAGGGTTTTTTAGAAAATATTTTAAGAACACTCTCAGAGGATGTGGTTTAGCAGGCACACAGTACGAGCAGGCGGCGTTTCGCAAGAATGGAGTTTTGAAGGTTATTTCCAACCAGTGTGGCTCCACACATCTGATACTTTATCTGCGCTTGGCCCCGCGCCAGGGACTTTCCTGCCTGCGCACTTAGTTTCTCAAGCGCCTCCCACTTTGGGCGCTGCTCCAAAACGATATTTGTTTACTTCCGCACTTTAGCGGTATTTCGCAAATTCAACTATTTGCATAACTTTTCTAAAAGCTTATTGAACGCATGTTTTTTCCCCGTTTACAATTACAGCTGTAGAGTCAAAATTGCTCAGTTGCTCCCAATAGAAAATGTTCAAAAATATTGCACTTTTATAATTTTTATCGAGCGAAGGGAATAAAGTTAGTAATCTAACAATAAATGTTTCATTTAATGTAATCAACAACAATTTTAGACACTCTAAAATTAGGGTTTAGTCACAATTGTTGCAAGTTGCATTAAATGGGTCAATTTCTGCACTTTAAAAAAAAAAAAGAAGAAGAAACTTGCATTGCATTATTTTTATCATTTAAAAAAATGTTACACTTACGTGTCTCCATCCTCAGTGACTTCTTGTGTCCAAGCTTCACACGTCCCCTTTGGATTCGCAATAGGGTCTTCAAAACGCAAAATCTCTATTTCCTCCACAATTTTCATATACTCGTCCTCCTTTAGCGAATCCACGCCGCTGTCGAAGCGCTCCTCAAAGTGTTGCATTTTCCGGTTTTTCATATCCATTTCATCCATATCACAATCCTGAAAGTTCATGGTGCCAGCTCTGTGTACATCCATCGCGACGCTCGCAGTATCGCAGTCTGCAGTGAAGTGTGCGGAGAGGGCGGCGCAACGCGCTTTTATAGCTGCGCCTCCGGTTCCACGCTGCAGATCGGGGGATTTCCATTTTGTAACTATGCACTGAAAAGGGGAACTCGTAGCGGGCTTTTATTTAGAGAATTTCCCTCAAGATGACTCCGCGAAGTAAGAATGAAAATCAGTATTTTCCTATTACACATTCAAATCTACCTGGTAGCACGCAGTAAGCCAAACTCACGGGGAAATGAATGACAAGAGAGCTCATGAATGAAAACCATGAAGAAGGGGACTATTAATAATGCAGGAAATATATATGCAGCTAGAAATAGCACTTGATATCAACATTATTTTTGTTTGTTTGTTTGTTTTCATACTGAGGTACAGTGACCCTAAAAAGTGAATGTCTTTGCATTATGTAACAAAGTATACCAATTGTCATTTATTTT